CGTGCAGTGATTTTTAACGTTTTCAAAATATTGTACAATTAAATTAATTTACCAACATCCAACACAATTATTGCCTTGTAGTTTAACAAAAGATGTTTGTTCCAGAATATTTCTTTGGTTTGCAGTCCTGTACTAAAGATCACCTTTGCTTTTCTTTTCCCATTTGTACAAATAACCTGTACAATATGTGGAAGATGAAAGAAAAATAATAGCTTTTGCAATGGCATCAGCACAAGTTTATTAGGTGCCTGAGAAAAACCCGTTTGGATTGCGGACCAGAGGATTTGTGCGTTTACTCTCAAAGAGTTTTGCCCTTTGAGAGTAAACACAAAAGTGTCGCCCTTGGCTTGCTCACATGGGGCTCGAACCAGGATTTCTGTAAAGCTGCTTTATGATGTCTGTAGTTAAAAGCACTATACGCATAAATTGAATTGATTTGAATTGTTCTGGGTTAATAATCATATTACTATAAAAAATAGTATAACTGTTTATAAATTACTTGTTCCTAGTTGGCATGTGTTAACAAATTATCGGTGTTGTATTCTGCTTCTGCAGGTCTACTTCCCTTCTTGTGATATGGTGCCTTGTTGACAAGGAGGCTTGGTTGCATCAGACAAGCAGAGAACTATGCTGCCTGGAGTTTTAACTCCTACAGGGTCTCCCATGGCAGAATGGTCTTAGCAGAAGTGCCCCACTAAACCTACCACCTATTCTGAGCAGCAGCAGCAATATAGGATGATGTCACTGGCGGATGATCACAGAGGTGACAACGACAAAGACATCAGTTCAACTGCGAGGAAGAAGGCAATGGTAAACCACTTCTGTAATTTACCAAGAAGGGAAGTCAACATGTTTCACTGATGATGTTATGAAATGTCCACAGGAAAATGGGAATACCTGACCATTTCATCGTTCTAATGAGAAATCTCTACTCTGATCAACAAGCCAGTGAAGACAGAAAAAGGACATACTGATTACAGAGTTACAGAAATTAAAGAAGGCTGCATACTATCACAATACCTGTTCAACCTGAATGCAGAACATATAATGAGAGAAGCAGGACTGAAGGATTCAGGCATGGTGAAAGAAACATCAATAGCCTTTTATATAAGGATGATGAAACACTCAGTGGAAAATCTGGAAAACCTGAAGGCCCTTATAAGGGAGGTTAAAAGAACAGTGAAAAGACTTTTAATAAGTTTAATATGAAGAAGACTAAGGTTAAGACAACAGTAAAGACCATTAACTGTACCACTAATGTAGAAGATGTGAAAATAGCAGACAGTTTTTGCTTACTTGGATAAATTATTAACAACAGATGATCCAACACTCAGGAAATCCAACACAGATTGGCACTCAGCAGAACAGGCATTAAGGTGCTTGGAAAGATTTTCGAATGCAACGATGTGTCTCTACAAAGAAAGATCAGAACTGTCCAGGCTGTGGTCTTCTCTGTGGCTTTTTTGGATATAAAAGCTGGACAATAAACAAGTGTCACAGGAAAAATACAGATGCCTTCTCTGACTTTTACGAGTACCTTGGACAGCAAAGAAAACACACAAGTGGATTCTCAAACAAATCAAGCCTCACCCTCACACTCGAAGGTCAACCAGACTGAAGTGCTCTTATTATGGACATGTTATGAAAAGAACCAGTTTATTGGAAATGGCCTTATGGTTGGAAGAGTTAAAGGTGAAATAGGAAGAGGACGACTGGCTACAAGTCAGAGGGAGACAATCAGAGCAGTCATGAACCAGCCACTGAGAAGCCTGAAGACCCAAATAGAAGAAAAGATATTCTGAAGAAACACTATCCACATGGCTGCCAGGAGTCAGAAACGACTTGTTGGCACTTAGTAGTAATAATAAAATTACTTCATGTTTTGTGTGTGAATAATGTTACGCTCTGAACTGAATTGACTGACTGATCTGATGATTTGGCTTCCAGTTACTTTTAAATGCCGCAAAAAAATCACATCAGTTTTGATGCGCATAATGGAATACTTTCATTTGATATCTTTTTGTTTCTCAACATGGAGTGCCTAAAATGCCATTTGTTAATGTTAGTGGTTCAATTTTCAGTTTATTTGAGAATTTAACATAAAAGTGTATTATGTGGAACTTTACAGTGGCACAGTGTAGTTTTATAGTGCTCTGATCCAACACACTAACCATGAGCTAATGATGAGCTTTGATGAGCTTTGATCCCAATTCTTTGGATCAGATCAGAATATTTCTAGCAAACCTTTGGTCTGTAGTGTAAAACACCACACAATACGTTCAAATGTTCGTAGATGTTTGCTCATCTAAAATCAAGTATTAACAGCCTCTATTCTTCTGAGAATGCTTTACATTAGATGTTGGAACGTTACTGTGAGGATTTGATTGCATTCTGCCAAAAGAGCATTAGTGAGGTCATTTACTGATGTTAGATGATCAGTTCTGGATCACAAATGCCACTCCAATTCATCCTAGTGCCAGCGAGCTTTATACCACTCTGGTCTTGGCATTGGCCATGGTGACCTTGCGCTCATGCGCGGCTGCTCTAGAGAATCCCAATGCTCTATGGAGATTATACCTATATATATATATATATGTATATACATATGCATATATATAGGGTAGCGCTTTCGCCTCACAGCAACAAGGGCCAGTTTCCTTTCTGTGTGGAGTTTGCATGTTCTTCCCGTGTCTGCGTGGGTTTCCTCCTACAGTCCAAAACACATGCAGTCAGGCCAACTGGATATGCCAAATTGCCCTAGGTATGTGTGAATGTATATGTGAATGCATACGTCGGTCTGTCTGCCCTGCAAAGGACTGCTGATACACACTGCTAAAAAAAAATTACAGGAACACTTTTTAATCGTTAGGGTTAATCAGTTATAGCTGCTTTGCTGTTAATGAAATTAACAACAGGTGCACTAGAGGAGCAACAATGAGACGACCCCCAAAACAAGAATGGTTTAATAGGTGGAGGCCATTGACATTTTGTCCCTCCTTATCTTTTCTGACTGATTTTTCACTAGTTTTACAGTTGGCTTGGGTCAGCGTCACTACTAGTACCATGGTGCGGTACCTGGACCCTACAAAGGTTGTCCAAATCCTGCAGGATGGCACATCAATACATGCCATTGCCAGAAGGTTTGCTGTGTCTCCCTCAAGGGGGTGTCTTAAGAGTATGGAGAAGATTCCAGGAGACAGGTACTTACTCTAGGAGAGCTGGACAAGGCTGAGACCCCTCAGCAGGACCGGTATCTGCTCCTTTGTGCAAGGAGAAACAGGATGAGCACTGCCAGAGCCCTACAAAATGAACTCCTGCAGGCCACTGGTGCGAATGTGTCTGACCAAACAATTACTGCCCAGCACCGTAGAGCTTGATTGGCATTTGCCATAGAATACCGAAATTGGCAGATCCTGAGCCCTGTGCTTTTCACAGATGAGAGCAGGTTTCACCTGAGCACGTGACAGACGTGACAGGGTCTGGAAACGCCGTGGAGAACGTTATGCCGCCTGCAACATCATTCAGCATGACACACACACACACACACACACACACACACACACACACACACACACACATTTATATATATATATATATATATATATATATATATATATATATATATATATATATATATATATATATATATAAATAAAAGCAGTGTGCACAATGGGTAAGTTTACTAGACTTATTACAAGAGGGTTATTTTTTAAATATTTCAAAATAAATGGGACACCAACTTGCAATATTTGTTTTTTGTTTAATGGGTATTATATGCAGGGAAAAGAAAAACCAAGTGGCCAAAATGAGCCATATCAAAACCAAAAGTATAAGCAGAGTTTTGTGTGTGTGTGTGTGTGTGTGTGTGTGTGTGTGTGTGTAGTTCATTGGATTAAAGCACAAAGGGATGGAGCTGTAAAAAACAAAAGAAAAGCAGGCAAACAGTACACAAAAGGGCTGCTAGAAAGTCACCCAGAATAAATAAAGTAATGAAGGTATAATATACTGCATTACTGCGCAAATGTGAATCAGTCTGGATACGAAAGGGGCTTCTGGTTAAAAAGAGGAATAAAACATCACATATTATGTACAATATGTCAGTTATACATCTGGGGCATTCCTTGAGAAAATCTCAAAACAGTTGCTTTGGTACGTTATTAAACTGATTTCTAAACAGACTGGAGCTAACCAGAAACATACTGATCTTTGATATTCCCCACATCATTATACGAATTTTATACAGTAAATGCCCTCTATGTGAGAAAATGTGAGATTTTTGTTTAGAATTATGAAAATCTCAAACGTTCAGCATATACTGGTATAGAGCAAAACAATAGTTGAGCATTAACAAGTAAAAGCAAGCAAACATACTGACAACTATCTTATTTACAATAATTATCCACTAACCTGTTATAATGTTATATACAAAGTAATAAATGTATGAAAACAGTTTTTAAACCAGGTTTTGCTGTTTGAGATTTTGAGAAAACATCTGAGGGCATAAAATGCACAGTACAATTCTGTTTTTTTTCCAAAGTGCAATTCTTTTTGGTAGAGTAAAAAAATATATATCCATACTTTTGTATATAAGTAGAAATGTTATGTTCATAAACATTTTTTTCTTAAACAAGCCCTAGAACCAGTGACTAAAATTGGCATTTGAAAGATTATAGCACTTCCTAATGCTAAAGATAATAATTGTACCAAATAAGAAGTTGTTTCAGTTCTGCTGACTGACCATTTGAACGGAACCAGGAGTTGTACAGAGTATAAAAAAATAACACTTGCTTAAAAAGATACTGTAACTAAGGAATAATGGTGGGTTTAAGTCCATAATGGGCAGTACTATAGGGGGTAAATTATGGGATTAATTAATCTACATGGTATTCAAAAAAATATTAAGAAGAAAATTATATATAATATATATATATATATATATATATATATATATATATATATATATATATATATATATATATATAAAATAAAAAACTAACCGGTATGCATGTTTATATGAAAACCCTGCCCAGAAAATACATAGCACTGCTGCTCATGCAAATTATATTGATATAACAAGAAAGGAAATAAGCATCATAAACATTATCATATGTAGTGAAAAAATGCATGTCCTGCGTATATTCTATTTTTGTGTAATACCTTCTTGTATTTTTTTTGTTTACAGATTTTTCATGTGGCACTAGCAGGTCAACTATCTGCTACTGTCAGCTCGCTAATTAGGAAACACTTTCGTTTCCAATATATTTTCAAGTATCTTTGTTAAATAGCTTATAACAAAATATAATTCCTCGGATTAGCTTGAGAAGCTAACTGAAGATGTCAGTCCAATGTGGTGGTGATTTCCATCCAGAGTGTCATCATTTCGGTGTTCTTTTTGATGCTGATTTGGACTTTTATGACAGCTAAAAAGTTTTAGTAAACAAAACTTCTGCTTTGGAAAGTTCTTGCTAATCCAATCCTTGTTCCAGTTCACGTCTTCGTAACCGTCCATAAGTGTGTTACTAAAATGCATGTATTTGTATCATGTATTTATTTTGCTCCTATATATCTATGTATTTATATCACTTGTTCATGTTGTTCGCTTTGCTTTAGGCATATCAGAAAGCGTCCTCCAAGTTTTTATTGTTTTTTCTATGAAGTGCCCACAGCCTCTCCATTCTTTCGCCCATTTGGTTGCTGGTTCTCCTGAGTGTGTGTCTGTTGTGTGTTCTGGTTGAGTTGTTGCTGTAGTTGAAGCACTGCTCTTTCCAGACTCTGCCTCGCTTCACGCTCCTTCAACAACTCCTCCCTCAACTGCTCTCGATCAGCCTCAGCCTGCTGCAGCTTCACCTGTAGCTCCTCAATCTGAAAAGAAAGAGAAAAAAGAAAAATCAACCAGTTATTTGTGCATAATATATATTATATACACACACTATATATATATATATATATATATATATATATATATATATATATATATATATATATATATATATATATAGAGCAGAGGCCTCTTCACTGCCAGCTTTAGTTCATTAGCAATGTATCGTAATGTTGGTGTCAGTGAATTTTTCTGAGTATGAGTACATAAACGCAGTATCGGGCAAGTACCCGATACCAGTATCAGTATTAATGCATCCCTACGGCAAGTCATCACTATCTTGAGTGGGTGTGTTCTTTCCAAGTAATTTTGCACCACTGATCGATTGATCATGAAATTTTAACACAGTGTAAAGGGCTGCTGGAGATTTCTGTGATACAAAAAAAGTGAATAATTACAGAAATGGAGATACAACGTTCTTAAAAGGTGCACATCATCACCTGGTGTCATTTATTATTCAGATGTTTATTTCTTGTTAAGAAAGCATTTATTTTTTAATGTATAATACTGACACAAGTGAAGTTGAAAGTGCAGATTCTACATTTTCTTCCCATTCCACATTTGTGATTTGAATTTGATAAAGTTTTTATTATTCTGCACAAACAAAATATCCTTTGCAGTTTTCGCCATGTTTTTCAAATTGAAACAAACTTAAAAAGGTTTTCATTTGTGCAGGTGGAAACAGATGTGCAGACAATTAAATTATGTAATTAGGCAGTTACATTTAAACATAAATGCAATGTTAATGTACAGCATAACGACAAAAGCAACTCTAGATTCCTAGATCAGTTCTGACGCCGTCAGGAAGCTGTATCTTTCTTACCTGTGTGGAGTATTTTGCACGCAGGCGTCCGGACTCGCAGCCTTTATCACACACTCGGAGCTGTCGCTCTCTCTCCACCTCCCGCTTCAGTCTGCCACACAAATCGTTGGCATCGCGCACCTTCTTTTCACACTCAGCTCTCAGCCGCTCAATCTCCTTCCGCAGGTTACGCTTGGCCTCAATGGCTTCCCGCAATCTGCCCTTCTTCGTTGCCCTCACAAACTCCAGCTCCTGGCATGCAATCAACAAAATGAAATAATTCACCTGAACCACTGAAATGCATGCGTGTTGTAATTTTATAGACATTTTTATACAGATCCTTGAAATCTGCTTCCAAGACAATAATAATTCTCCCCAGTCCATACAGTTCATCTGTGGAAACTAAGATGCAAAAATAGCTTGTTTTAAATTTTGTGATGTCACAAACCTCAATGCATTTAAAATTATGTCTATTTAGACTGCAGTTTAGCTCATTCAAGTTAAAGTTACAAGGAATGAGGCAAAGTTTGAAAATAGTCAAGTAAAATGAATGACTCTTACAGATGCATAAACACACACAGACGTCATACAAAACAAGAAAAAAAATAGTATATGGGCATTTTAACTGCTAACTTTACCTGTTGAAGGCTACGTTTGGCCTGCAGAGCAGCAGTGAGTTTTTCCTCCTGTTTGACCCTCATGCGAACAATCTCCTGCAGGAACCTCTCTCTGGCCTCTCTGGAGCTCAAGTCACTGTACAGCGTCTGCCGCAGCGCCTCCAGCTCTGATGGCCCGGCCACTTTCAGCCGCACATCACACACTTCTGCTGGGCTGGAGCCTGCCAATCCATTACTTAATGAATGCGAGCGAGGGACTGCAACAAAAACACACAGGAGGTTCTTTATGAAGACAAGCATTACAAATACACAAAACTATGTAAAGAAATTGTAATTATAATTCTTACAATAATGCTATGGGTACAATATTAATACATCATCAACATAACTTGCATTACATACAACAATTTTTATCCTATTAAGTCTTTTGTGAACTATAATTTTCATATAGCTCTCATCAATTAATTCAAGTTTGGGAAAAAATGTCTACAATTCAAAAGGGAAAAGGTCTACAATTTAGCATGCCTTTCTACAATTCCTAATTATAATGCTTTCTACTGTTTCTAATGTTTCTACTGACCTCTGCTGACCAATCTGAACACTGCTAAACTGGTTTCAATAATGCTATAAACACTTTTCAACATAGAATGACTAACTCTGGTAAAATTACTAATACAATAAGATAATGGCATACTGGGCTGACATTATGCTACACTGGCTGTTACTGTTTATAAAGTACAAAGTACAGAATATTGTACATGATAATGATATTGTGTTGCCCACCCATACATGTACTATTACTGGTGGATCAGACACAGCAGTGCTGCTGTGGTTTTTAAATGCTGTGGCTACTCACTGTCCACTCTATTAGACACAACTACGTTGGTCCACCTTGTAGATGTAAAATTAGAGCCAGGAGCTCATCTGTTGCTGCAGTTTGTTAGTCACCCTCTAGTCCTTCATCAGTGGTCACAGGACGCTGTTGCCTGGATATTTTTGGTTAGTGGACTGTTCTCAGTCCAGCAGTGTGTCAGTGAAGTGTTTAAAAACTCCAGCAGCACTACTGTGCCTCATCCACTCCAACACCAGTGCAACATGCACTAACATGCCACCACCACGTCAGTGTCACTGCAGTGCTGAAAATAATCCACCATCTAACTAATACCTGCTCTGTAGTGATCCTGACCATTGCACAGGGTATCAAGGAGCACAGAGAAACAGATGGACTACAGTCTGTAAATGTAGAACTACAAAATGCACCTAAATGGTATGCGGAACTGATAAAATAGACAATGAGTGCAGGAACGAGGTGATTTTAATTTTATGGCCGATCTGTCTATGCACCAAAAATAAAGCATACACACTAACTGAACTGCCTTCAGCCATCAGGTTTTCTGTTAACTACATGGTGCCTTAACTACATGGACTGAATGATGTTCCAAAAGTCACACTGGGGTAAGTACTGCAATATTTGAAAAACAAAGAAGCAGTCAAAAATGTACCCAGATAATCTATTGCCCCAAATGGAGCTAATTATCACTGCCAATGTACAGGGTGTGTTTAGAAGGGAATCAAGGCAGGGATTAAGACAGGGCAGTTAAGGATTAATTACAATATTGTGGATGGGCTGCACAACACTGACAATATACCAGGTATTTCTATTCTTATACATTGTGATTGCAATCTACCATTTTTTTGAAAACAGACCAGTGGTTAAAGACTATTTTTTTTCAGTATTTATGGCCACTATTATTTATGTTTATGTGTATCCGATCATGTGAATCCCTAAACATCTGTGACATGACTGGGTGTTGGCAGCCCACAAACATTCAGTGATTGGTTAAAGGCTCATTTGCATACTGTAGCCTTGTGCAATATCAGGATTGCGATAGCCAATACTGCGATAACAATTAACAAACAATATAGCAAACAGTTTTACAGCCCTAGTTTTTGCCTTTCTGTGAAACTCACTCTCGTTGCAGGTGTCCACTTCAATCTCAGCATCCGAGTCTGAGTCGTTTTTCGCTGGCTGATGGAGTCGCGCTGCAAGCAAAGACTGACTCTCTCCAGATGGCCAGTGTTTGGTGGGTCTGGAGCTAAGGGTGAGCGGGTCTGCAGGCTGACAGCCTGTGGCCTGCAGCGCCTCATCCTTACCAAGGCCAGTCGAGGTCACTGTCACACTAGGGGCCAAACTCTCAGGGCGTTTAGGAGGCGATCTAAAACATTTCAGAGCAAAAATCAAACAATCTGAACACGGAGTATGTGATACAAGACAGAAACTAGTGTCAGGACCAGAAGAATAAATCTGTTTACAATCTTTTATTTTTTAATGAGACAATGTTGGGACAGCCTGTACACTCACAAAAATAGATTAATGTATTAATTTAATTACATCACACATTTACATCAAACTATGGTAGTATACATGGAATGAGATACCTCAACATTAACTGAAACTTTGAACGTTTTGAAATTTTGAATGTTTTCAGTCTGTAAGCGAAACAACCCACTTTGTATGAACTTTTCCCCCCAGAGTGTAAAGGAATAAAATATGGCCTAAATTGTCCTACTGTCCACTTCATTCCTTAAGAAAATTTATAGTTTACTGTTGTAAATAATATAAATGCTTTATTTTTCGAGTAAATAAGTGTTGTTAATAACGTGACCACTCAGGTGGGGTGTTGGCCCTTTCATCAGGAGATCGCAAGTTTTAATTTTACCCGATTTTCTCCCCAATTTAGTCGTCTCCAATTCCACCCGCTAGTTAGGACTCCCCCAATCACACGATGCTATCAACGCTAGGAGGGTGAAGGCTAACACAGGCTTCCTCCGAGACCTGTGAAGCCAACCACCGCTTCTTTTCGAACTGCCGCTCACGCAACGTCACTGGACAGCCGAACGCGCTCGGAGGAAAGCGCCAACCGCCAGATCTGTTACGTCAGCTAACAGACGCCTGCGCTGACTAGCATCGCGCTGAGTGATGGGGGGAGAAGGAGGGGCCATCCTACCCACCCAGAGAGAGCGAGGCCAATTGTGCTCTCTCGGACTCCCGGCTACGGATGGCTGTAGCATCACCAGGGATCGAACTCGCGATCTCCTGATGATAGGGCCAACGCTTAGACGGTTGCGCCACTCGGGAGCGGAGATCGCAAGTTTGATCCCCAGTTTGCAGTCCCCATTTTGCAGCGAAAATTTGCATTATTAGTTGATAATTTTGTAGTTTAAGTACTGACTTGTCGTGCAGACATTTTAAAGGCTTTGCAAGGTAATGCTGGTAATGTGACACTGCATTTGAACACTGGTCTGCTGTTAGGGCAAGATGTAAGTGCCCTGTAACAGCCCTGAGAGGCAGAAATCAAACAATCATGGAACATGACAAAGGTGATAAATCAGAGCCATGGTTTATTCATGTGAAATAGCTAGGTTTGGAGTGCAGAAGCATACCGCTCATGTTTGTGACTGGGCACTGCTCTCTCAGAGGTTGGAACTCTAGGACTCCACGGCCGGAATGCTGATGGCCGCTGCTTGAATTGGAGCTGCTTCAGATCCTAAACAGAGGGCAAAGGGCATGTTAGAGACTTTGCTTACACGACAGACAAATTGTTATTATAATTACAATAAAGTATAAAATTCAATTAAATACAAATAAACTATTTTCATTATAACAGAACAGCACAATGGCAGGCTCCTTCATGGATTTAAGTGGTGCAGCATGCATGATAGACACAACAGTCCTAAAGTGAAGGATGGTACAGTATAGACTGTCTCTTTCACCTGTTGCATTTTACCTTCTGCACTCAGCCACTTTACTGCGAAACTCACATTATATGCACAGTCATTTTAATCTGTACACTGACTGCAGTTTAAATTATCTTTGTGGCCATATTACTAAATCCTATTGTTAAATATCATTGCACTGATAAAATACCTGCACATCTACTATGCTGCTTCAAGCATTAAACGAAGTGATTACAATAAAGCTCACTTTGATTTTAATTACTGGTATCAAACATGTTATCAATATTCATTATATGGATTTGCACTATTTTCAATGAAATATTTATATTGATGAATGTTCTGCTTAAATGGTAAATTGCTACTTCAGTACTTCAGTAGGTGGCACAGTGTGCCTTGCTAAATATCCTGTGTTTATAACAGTATTCACAGTTCAAAGTAAGCATTAGGAAAAGGGCATAAATATTGTTACTAAGAATTACTGATCCCAAACAAAAGGGAAAAAATATCTTGACCCTGACCATATTTCCCAGCACTTTAATAACCTCAGACATCAACTGAAGTGATTCAGTTGGTGGTTTACTGATACAGTGACAGTTTGGTTGGCAATGCAGTTTCAGAATTACCAACCTTGTTCGTGGACGCAGTCAGATACTGCAGCCAATCAGCCTGCTTTTCTTTGTCCTCAGACGGGGAACGTGACCGCTCCTGTTTGGATTTCTTGGACGGAATAGGACTGTATGCCTGTAGCAGAGAGAAAGACAGGAAAAATGTATTTTAACCCTTAAATTCACACCTCTTGTTAATTGCCCTTGACCTTATTTCCCTCACCTTACCTCATCCAACTACCAAGGTAACAATGTAAATTAATTATTTCACTACTGTCAATAAAGTAAAACAAAATACACTTTACTACGGAAACAAACTGTGTATAAGCAACTTAACAGACAGTAATATAGACAGACAGTACACACATGGCAGCGTGCTATGATTATGAGGTTGGGTTGGTGTGAAACTGCCTGCACATACACTTTTAGAGCTTGCTGCAAACATCTGAAAACAAGTACAAGCTACTGTCCGGGGGGAGGGGGGTGGGGGGAGGAGAGGGGGAAAAGAAAACACACACCACAGGTATTCATTCATTTCAAAAACAAAGCCATCGGGGCGTCAAAAGGCGTAAAGGCTGACAGTGAGTAATCTTGCTGCCCTCAGGTTAGCGCTTGCCAACACAGGATGTGTTTACTTTCGGCATTTTTAAAAACCTGCCTAGACCTGCTCTTCACTGACTTACACTCAGGAATTTAAACTGCAGCGCCCGGGTTAGTCTAGACTAGTTCAGTCAGTAATGCTTTGCATAAATGTCTCAAAAAGTATGCCAAAAGTCTTGAAGCAGGCGGTAATTTTGTTATTATATAATAAGTATTTCAGAATTAAATCAATTTGTCAAAAACAGAATTAGCTTTTTGCCATATAGTTAAACCAAAGGTTTTAGAATATTTCACTGGTTTTCAGAGTTATATTCGAATATATTATGTGGGCAAAATCTTTTTGTACTTCTAAGGATAACTTTTACATACTTTTTTATGGCTGTGATGTTAATTACTCCTTTGATATTGTATATGTTCTATCTGAGAACCGTCTAAATCCATTTTGTTATACAGTATACTTGTGTATAAGCATAATCACAGTAAACTTCAGTTGAACAGAATTCTATGGGAAAAGCCCTGTTTATACTCCTTGTCAATAACAGTCACTATTAATTCACTCCTAATGTAACACACCTGATTGTGTTGACTGATCTTTCAGGAAGCTTTGAGGAAATCTGGTCGAGATTATGCTGCAAAACTCATTAACAATCAGTTACTGTATACACCACTGCTGCATATATTCAGCAACAAACTCATCTGTTCTGGCTTAACAAATATATCATCAATGGTTATTTCTGGATATTTAAAACATTGTTTTTATTTAAAAATAAAAAAAGGTTTCAAAGTTGTCACATACAGATGTTTGGACTGTAGTGTATAAAATGTGGATGAGTGTTAAAGTTAGAAAGGAATAAATGAGAGGGACACTGCACTTTGGATGTTCGGCCACCAGGAGACAGTGTTGGTCAGGTTTTAATGTCACAACAGCACACTAAGCAGAAGGCCAGTGATATACTCTCTCACATTTACTTGTTCCCTCTTTTTTCCCTTTCCTTTCTTTTCTCCCTCCCTCCTCCCTGCCTCCCTCCCTCTTTCGCTTGTTCTCTGTTGCTCATTCTTTCTCTCTCTTGTAATCTCTCTCTGCTTTTTCCCTCCTGTCTCTTTTTCCCTTCTCTTTGCAGGTCTCTCTTATAAGACCATAATAATAAGCAGCTCCTTTTATCACAAGGCATAAATGTGTGTGGTGTGACTGTGGCTGTCTGGAGTCCACTCTTAAACACACACGCACACGCACACACACACACACACACGCTTCTGTGAATGAAGTGATGAATAGTGGTGGCAGTTCATGTTAAAAGAACTCTTCAGCTGTTTAGAGAGAAACCTTTCATAGATTTAATGCTCCATTATGTTTATGATTAAGATTCTTTAAGAAGGTGTAATTTTACATAAGAATATTTCGTGCCATAGAGAACAACAGTTGGATGATTCCAGCAGTACTGAGCAGTACTGATGAACTTTTTAATTTTATCTGAATACTTCAGCTTTGTATGAACTTTTCATGATGAATCAATAGAACTGATCCAAAATTACTTGGAATAAAGTCCTTACATTAACATATCATTGCTATCAAACCAAAACCTTGTATTGTTTATTTATTTATTTTTGCAGAGTCTGAAAACGGCAGCTGCTGTTTACACGGCGTCTTAATTTTATGACAAACTGACAGATAAAAATGATCCGAAATTACTTAACATAGTTATATTAAACTTTATGTTTTATGCTTTTCCTGTAAATACACTTTTGAGATGCGAGGCTTTGTTCCGACTGCAACGATGTATTAATTTTTTTTTCCTTTCTATAAAGATATCATATCAGAGATATGAGTATGTTGTTACAAAAGCAACAACACATAACAACAACAACAACAACAACAATTATTATTATTATTGTTTATTATACTATTTTTCATTTTTGTAATATATATATATATATATATATATATATATATATATATATATATATATATATATATATATATACACACACACACATACATATTACATTAACTATGCTTTGTTTTCCATCAATACTGCTAAAAAAAAATAATAAATAAACCTCAATATTGCTGGGTGACAATTATATATTGCCTGGTGCTAGGTTTCAAAGTAGATGTTACAGTTATAAGTATAGTTTTACATAATTATGTGAGTGTGTCTTTTTTTTCCAAAACATGTACGATACCACCTATTAAGATTTTTAATAAAGGCCAATACTGCAATGAATATCGCCTGACCTGATTGCAGAGCGTAGATGTGTTTGACCTTTGGTAACATATCACACTCCAAATCCTTCCCGAGCCTGTCTACAAGGAAAGAGGTCAACACTCAACAAACTGCGGATGGGCAAAATCAAAACATGACTGACTCTCACACACACACACACACACACAGAGCCCGTCTGTCTGCTGCTGTTCCTTCCCTGAGGTTTGCAGTTCCCGGAAGAGCGCAGAGCCCAGACAAAACATAGTACACACACTCCAGACGCCACCCAGAGCTCAGCTTATGTGCGTGTGCGAGACTGCCGTGATGTGGCCTTCGCTCACCAGCACATCAAACGGCCAGACGCATTACACATGTCACGCAGTATCAAACAGCCAGACAAAACCACACACACACGCACACACACACACTCGTGAGCAAGACACACGACCTCAAGGTACAAAAACTCTCCACTCAAACAAAACACTCTGTTTCAGTCTTTGGGTATATTTAACTTGAAGACTCAGCTTCATGTTCATGAAACTATCTTGCTTGGTATGAAAAAAAAGGTTTTGCCACAATTTGACCTTTCTTCTAATTAAACTTTTGACATTGCACAGTGTACTTAATTCAATATCTGGAACATTTTGATCCCGCAAGGCTTTAGTTCTGCTAAATGTCACCCAATGATTCATGATACAAAGGAGAAAAAATAAAAACAAAAACTAGAGGTATGCGATATAGCAAAAATACAATATTGTGATATTTCAAGTTTTCATGATACACGACAAATCATTTTTTTTTCCAGACATCTTGTCAGTTGGAACAGACAAAAGAACAAACAGTGCTACATTTTAAAAAATGTGTTGCACTAAATCCAGCTAAATGGGACAAATTTTGCTCTTTTCATTATGAAACATGCAGTTGGTCAGTGTACAAGTACTGACGATATCCATGATATGTTCAGAAAAGTATACTGTATTGTGACAATTTACCACAATAATAATACATATATTTTCATATTTTCCAGCCTTAACAAAAACTAAAACTCACCTGAGAATGCGTGAGTGAGTAAATGCCAAAGGAAATGAATAAATGAGTGAATGGATGAGTTAATGAGCAAGTGAAGGAGTTAGTGAGCGAGTAAACGTGAATGAGTGAGTGAGTGAATGAATGAATGAGCAAATGAATGAGCAAATGAATGGAGTGAGGGAGTGTGTGAGTGAGTCAGTAAATGAGTGAGTGAACAAATGAGTGAAGGTACGTTTTCTCTGTGTAGTTTGCTTTGGCTGGCAGCTCTCTGGGAACTGTATGTGTAGTTCCTGAATGGGGTGTGTGTTTGTGTGTGTGTAGGAATTTATACTTGAAGGCCAAGTACAGCCTCCTGAAGCGGCCATTCAATCCTATGGCCTTTCAGCGGCCCATTGTGCTGCGCTACTTTGATGTTGCACACACACACACACACCCCCACCCCCACACACAGGCACACACCCTAAGGCAGGGATAAGACATATGCACTGGGAAAAAGATGCCATCGTATTTTACTGGGAAAGTATGCCTTTTAAATTTCTACTAGTCCATTTGTCATGAAGGTGTTCACAAAATGTAAAAGTTGGTATTTTACATTTTTATAATTTTTTTAAGGTTTTCTTATAGAAATATTTTAAGACGTATCCACACGTGGTTTCAAGACCCAGGCACACTTGTTTTTTGACAGTGTGTAAAATTACACTAATATCACGTCACAATAGACAACAATCAAGAGTTTTACATCACAGACTTCTGCCAATTAAGAAACTGTGCACATAAAAATTCAAGTTTACTTTTGGCAAATACTTGACATGTAAATTCACATTATCAACCAACAGCACAAAGCTCTGGCTGGTTTGTATAGCAACACTGAATATCCTACATGGAGTAAGTGCTACTTTTAGCAATATCTAAGCAAAATGATTTAAATGTAAATCATTAAAAAGTAAAAAAGGGTTTCAATATGACAGCAATCAAATCTACTGTTAGACAAGCACTTTGAAGCTAAGGCATAAATAATGCAAACAAGATTCTATGTGAATAAAACTAACAGAAGCATGACCAAACTGGTTTCACTTGTTGTTGGAAAAAATGTGGAAAAAAATAATTTTGGAAACAGAACTACCACATGCTGTAGCTGAATTACTTACATCTCAGTTGTTTCCTCAACACTACCAATAGGTGTTAACTGGAGCATGATAATGTCATGTTTCAGCTTTGTGTCAAACAAGGGGAGAAATGACAAAAGACAGAGGTTATATTGACTTACAAGAGATCAAAAATGACCCTCTCAACCGGCCCAAAC